TGACAACCCACGTGTTAGCAGCAATGGATGCTTGGACTGCAAAAAAAAAAAAAAAAATTAAATAATTTTATGTTGACACACTAAAAGATAGGATAAAAGAACACAGCCAAAATACCACCAATTTATGTTACCTTTAGGATTTGTTTTAGGAGATTGGCTACATCATCCTTGAAAATGTTGACCTCCTCAATGCAGGTATCGCATTCACCCCTATTCTCTTCAAAGTGCTCTGAAGCCTTTTGTCATCTGTGTCGTTGTCTTGTGGACAGCCTTCGCTTCTATAAGTGACAGAAAACACAGCAAAAAACAAAAATATGGTCCCATTACTCATCAAAAACCCATCATATGCAACAAATCATAAAATATTACAAGGCATCAGAGACCATCATTCAACAAAAACTGATAACACAATATGGTAAATCCGGAAAGTTGAAACAAGAATTAGCAAAGGCAATATACAAGTGTGCAATGAAGGATATGCCAAAAATAAGCAAAAGAACAGATATCCTATACAATTAATAGTCCAATACCACGTGCAAAAACATAACAGATCGTATTCTTACAGCAGTAAATGCCAAGAAACAATGATTTCTTTACAGGTTAAAAGAAATATCATGAGTTCAAGATGTAAGCCCACCTCCTCATGGTACCCTTCCCACCAGTTCGAACTGAACCAGCCATCTTCATCAGCTTTTCCCGATTCATCTGTTTGAGAAACAAAAGCATTAAAAACCAGTAAATAATTTTTTTTATATCAGACTTCATCAGTTTTCACCAGTAAGTTCATTAAACTTAGTCTCAATGTAATTGGGAAAAAAAGGAAATGATAATGCTACAAGCAAGAGTTAAAGAAAGTAAAAATTAAAAAAAGGGAAGCAGTGCAGGCGATCAATGGACAATCAACTTTTAAGAAGAGAATTGCAATATCCTGTCATCATGCATCACACAACCCCAAAACCTGAACACAATGTTAAAGCAAGGATCAATTGATTCACTCACACACACCACTGAGAGCAAGACTCAATTAACAACAGAAGCACACATGCATGCACATATACAGAACGGGGGCAAGGGTCAATTGACACTGGGGTTAGACATCAAGCTTTTATGCCTTTTAATACTGTAAAATAGGATCAGGATGAGATCGATATTGATTCATCTTGTGTGGAGTAGATCAAATTACGATATCAATACCCCATAGAAATTTTTTATAAAAATTACAATCAAATTTGTGTAATCAATTACTTGTAGTTTTTTGTATATTTGAAATGCATATTGTATGTTATTTTTTGGATTTAATCGTGGGCACCAAACAATCTTAGAAGGATGGTATTCAAGATAAGAACGATTGATTCAATGCAGAAGATTGTAAGAAAATCATTTTATAAAAAAGCTATTAAGAGGAGTAACATTTATTTTGATTGATACAAGAGATCAATTAATCCATCCTCTGCATCTATTCAAACTCACTTGGGTGCATGTTTGTCATTTTTCAACTCACGAGAAAATAAAGAATCCTTATAAGTTTTCAGTCAAACCCCCGGATAAGTTTCTTCTGCAGAAACATCGCTAACTGCTAGTTCTCAACGAAAAACATAAGTTCATAAGCTTCAATGAACTAAGGAGCTCCCAAGCTCAGCATTTCACCAGTGCACTATACTATAATAGAAGTGTCAACAATAATAAATTGACAAGGTTTGATATGATAAAAGAAACACGAATCCAAATCCCTACTAAATCTCACTTCCAGAAATCGACCGATTCGAAAATCCCAAAATCAAGACGAGAAAATCAACACAACCAAGGATATAGAAATCACGTAACACCCCATCTTCGGTCGGGAGCTCAGAAGCAGACCCAAATATAAACTAAAAACATCACGGAAACACTTGACAAAGCCAATCCACGTCAATTCAGCGCCAGAAATGTGACCGATGGTAATAAGAAATTCTCAGTCAAATCGATAACATCGAAACGACATCGGAAGCATGAATTTGAGCAGAAAAGCCAGTACCTTTCGTTAAATTTGTTAGGAACTGCGGGTCTTCGAATCGTCCAGTAAGATGGTCACCTCACTGAAATGGAAGGCTTAATCATGCAAGAAGATAAGGCCTGTCTCTTTTATATCGAGACCCGCAAAAACCCTAGCTTTTCTTATTTCCCATCAAAACCCTGCATCTTTCAGGGTCGGGTTGTCCGACTTGAATGAGTAATCCTTAAGAAAGCCCATTTTTGTGATCTGAGTGAAATGGGTAATTATGAAGAAAAAGTCCATCTTTGTATTGGACCGCAGCGGTTTGCCTCTATTTTTTTAACCCAGATTCTTGCCTTTACTTTTGGTAATAATACTTAGCCTTCTGATTTTGCCAAGTGGACCAGTTCGCTCTTCAAGTATTTGCAGAGGAACACTCAGTAATTTAAATAATGATTATGGAGTTGCATGTGTAGCTTTGAACTTAATATGGTCAGGAGTAATAATGGGTGAGTTATATTGATCATGCCAACCATTATGTTTGGTAATTATTGTGTTTAAAAAACACAGGATTAGAAAGCATTTTTTACACTTCACTATTGACTCAAGAACATTTAGAGTCTTAAAATAAAATGATACATTTTTCTCCTCAATAGTTAAAATGCTGCATTGGGCACCAGCCATTAAAAAAAATTTACTTTAACTATTTGTTAATTGAAAAAAAATTATAAATAAAGACATAAAAATTACAGAAAAGGGTCCATAAAATTGTAAATAAGTAACTTATAAGAAAATTAATATTAAGTAAGGCCCCAAAATAATGGTTATTCAAAATCATATTCTGACCTTTATGTGGATAAGAAATAACATGTGTATCATATTATTTATATGTAATTTAGATGACTTAATTAATATTATTTTTTTATAGAATAATTTTTATGAGTCTTTTTTTTATAGTTTTAGGTATTTTTCTACAGTTTTTAAGGTAATGAATAGTCAGATTTACATTTTAAATGATAGGATATTTAATGTACCATTTTAAATATTAACAAAAATTACATCAAAGAAAAGTTTAGAATATCATGTGTTTTAAGTGGACCCTTAGAATTTGATATAGTCTTATATGCACACGAACACCACTAGTGACCCACTCGCACAAATTTGCTCTAACATGTCCCATTCCACTATCTTGCACTGCAAGACATCTTATACAAGTTATACTCCCTCTGATTTAGAATATAAACATTTTTTCAATTAATTTTTGTTTATAACATAAGTAATTTAATATATGTTAAAAAAAACTGTTTTTTCTATTTTACTACTTATATTTATTACCCTATATCTTGGTGCAAATTTACTTCTCACTTATCATAAAATGTATCGGTAATTAGATTAAAAATTAAAAAAAAAGAAACATATATATTTTTATAAAAATAAAACTTTATTAATTTATGAATTTTGTAAAAAAATTATTTATATTTTGATCCGAAGGAATAATATGACCCCTAAACTGGGAACTCCAAAACTCATCATTTCATTGATGCACTATACTATAGTATCTGTAAATACCTTTTAAGCCATACTAAATAAACAAAAGTTCATTGATTATATAAAGGATGAAACAAACAGAGCCACAAACCTATATCTAATTACTATAAATCTCACCCGAGTAAATCCATCATTTCCATAATCTCACTACATCAAAAGAAAAGAAAAGAAAAGATAGTACAACCCATGAATATAAAAATATATGTACTAAACCCATGTAAGTTATTATCAAAGAAATCCACATGCGAGTTCAATGCCAAAAATGAAATTGAAAATAATGAGAGATAGGTCAAAATTGGAAATATCAAAACGACAGAATAAATTGTGTGGCTCATCTTCAAGTGATTGGTATACCAAGCCACGGGAATGAGCTAGGTCAAGTTTGCTGTGGTAGGCTAATAATGGCATTAGAAAAGAAAGAATGAGCGAAAATAAAAAAAAATATTATTTTATATTATAATATTTATCAACTACTATTATATCATACTCGAAACATTTTCACATTCCATTGTTTTCAGTTTTTAAAAACTTTTTTTTAAAAAGAAAAATTTAAAAATTAACTTGGATTAGTGTTTTTGATTCAATTATTTTTAAAACTGTTTTTTTTAAAACAAAAATGAAAAAATAAATTTAATTTATTTTCATTTTATTTTTTATTTTTAAAATACACTACCTTTGATTATTAAAAATTATAGTTATGTTGATTAATTTTTATCACAAATCATTATTATTAACTGTTTTATAATTATCATTATCAATTTTTTTAATTTTAAAACTATTTTTAAATTAATATAACCAAATAAATTTTTATTTTATTTTGATTTGAAAAATAATTTTAAAATTTGTATTATAAATCAGTTTTTAAAAATAAAAAATAAAAACAGAAGATCAATTTTTTATTTTTCATCTATTCTCTTTCACCTTGTTTTTTTTATTGAGATTTTCTTGTCTCATCATAAACTCAAACGACATGGGACCACCTTTAGAACAGGACACAAAACTAAAATCCAATTCTGGTATTAAATTTTGAAAATAATTAAGAGCATTATTCTGGTCTTAATGTAATGTAGGATCTCAATTTTCTGTCTTCCACATTTTATTTTTTTCCCCTCACTTGCCCCTATTGATTGCACCAAATTTCATATTCCAATGTGCTAAATAATTAAAAAGAATATTTTAAAATAATTAACATCTTTAATCTATATAATTTAATTAAAAGAACTAAATGTTGGAAGAGTTTTGATTTACTAACGAATAAATAAATAGGGTTGAAACTTTAAAAGACATGGTAATTGGCAGCAAAAGCCGCTGAAACCTGGCCGCCGGCGACGGAAAAAGCGGCGGCGAAAAGCAGTAAGAAGTGATGGGTAATAACAGTGGTGTAAAAAAAAAAAAAAGGAACAGTAATGGTAACCTTAAACTTAATCTTCTCCCCAGGCAAATTATTGAATCAGATTCCATGTTCCGCAAAGTGAGGCTAATGCACTCACGAACGAGAGGTAAGTCTCCGCTTAGTCACTTACTATACATGGAGACTTATATTGACACACACACACGCACTCTCCCCCCCCCCCCCCCCCCCCCGCCCTCCCCACACCCATTAGAAATAAAATCAATCATCTACTTTGTTTCTCAGAGAAAGATAGTGAGGTACCACAACTATGTCCATCGTCAACGTCGATTCTCAGTCCTCGCTTCCAGCTCAAAGGTAAGATATGGTTGGCTCTTGAATTTCTTCCCTTGTTTGTTCGATTTCTGATTCCAACTTTGCATGAAACTTTCAAATCCTTCCCGGGGTGATAGACATCTGTTTTCGGATTTAGATCTACTTGAAGCAACTGAGTGAGTGGATTTCAACTTGTATGCTATCAGATTAGGCGACAGCTTGAGTTTGACTAGCTTTGACGCTTCTGAACTTGCACTGTTTTGACTTTTTTGCTAGAAGCTTCTTGTCCCTTTTGATTATGTGCATAATATAATAATATACTTAAATTTCAACTATGGACCTATCTGCTTGAGTTCCAGCTTAAATTTTTTTTATAATCTCGCCGTAGCTTTTTATTTTTTTAGATAACTCCTGTTTGCTCGAATGCTTTCTTGTTGCTTTCCCAAAGTAGTTGTGTTTTCGGAAATGCTTTTGCTTGTTATGCTGTTGTCCTCCTTCACTGCCCTTGACAACTATATCGAACTCTTCAACCCTTGTACCTAGCTGAAATTTTTATAAAGTCTTCAATATACATATATATATGGCTGTCAGTGTATCGAATTAAGTTTGTTTTCTCGTTTTCGGTTGTTCTTCTGGCTTCGTTGAGAATAACTTTGTTGTTTTGTCTTCTGTTTCTGTTTTTTTATTTTTTGGAATCTTTAGAGGTTAATCGACTAACTTCTCAGTTTGTTCTGTAGTTTTATGAGTCTACAAATTTGCGTTTTCTGGCACATCTTTCTAAAGTTTTGTTGTCAATCTTGCTCCCACTTCAGTTCTATGGTCTTGGTGGATAGTGATACATGATAAATAATGATATTTGAGTACATTGGAAGTAGGATGATTTGTTCATATGATCTTCTTGAGTGGTCCAAAGCTTCTGGTAAAAAGAAAGGGGCCTTGTATTCTGGACTGATGCTGTATCCATGTTTCTAAAATAGACACTTGTGCTAATACCCAAACTGATCATGCACCATGGTAGAGAAAAATCTATCCTTGTGATGAAACCGTTTCTGTATGCAGTAAGTGAGTGTTTAATTGTTCAGTGAAGCCAGTGATGAAACCGTTTCTGTATGCAGTAAGTGAGTGTTTAATTGTTCAGTGAAGCCAGGAGTTAAGAGAGTTTAATCATTCTTCTATTCTTTCTGTTAAACTTTGTGTGAAAGCTGGGGTGATGCCATAGAGTGACTTGTCATTTTATTACTTGCCTTGTATACCAAAAAAAATAACTGATAGATCCATAGGTATACATGATCAATATATCACAAACAAAAAATTGCTTATTGTGAGAGATTGACAGCACAATCTGACATATGGATCTGATATATAGATGGCCAGACTTTCTATTTTTGGAAAATAATTACTTCCATATTCTCATTCTTTACATTCTATTCCATGTTTGGTTTCTGTAACATTTCTGTCCATAGCCCTTTACTCATTAACATCCTTTTGTTTAAATGTTCAGTTTTTCATTTCTGCATCATTACCCGTGCTGCATTTATGCCGTGTCGCATTATGTTCATTGTTGTCTCTCTTCCTCAGGTTATTAGGCAAAGTGGCACTGGTTACAGGGGGGGCTTCTGGAATTGGAGAAAGCATTGTGCGTCTATTCCACCACCATGGTGCCAAAGTTTGCATTGTTGATGTGCAAGATAACCTCGGTTTGCGGGTTTCAGAATCCCTTGGTGGTGACTCAAATGTTTGCTTTTTCCATTGTGATGTTGCAGTAGAGGATGAAGTTCGCTCTGCGGTGGACTTCACCGTGGACAAATTTGGCACCCTCGACATTATGGTCAACAATGCTGGAATTTCTGGATCGCCTTGTCCTGATATCCGTGATGCAGATTTGTCAGAATTCGAGAAGGTATTTAATATAAATGTGAAAGGAGTATTCCATGGGATGAAACATGCGGCGCGAATCATGATTCCATTGAAGAAGGGATCAATCATTTCCATGTCCAGTGTATCAAGTACCATGGGGGGCTTGGGACCTCATGCATACACAGGGTCCAAGCATGCTATCTGGGGGCTAACAAAGAATGTTGCAGCTGAACTGGGGAAACATGGAATAAGGGTGAATTGTGTGGCACCATATGCTGTTTTCACTGCTTTGTCTTTAGCTCATTTGCATGAAGATGAGAGAACCGAGGATGCTATAGTCGGTTTTCGTTCATTTACTGGGAAAAACGCCAATCTGCAAGGGGTAGAATTGACTGTGAATGACGTGGCTAATGCCGTGCTCTTCCTTGCAAGTGATGATTCGAGGTATGTAAGTGGTCAGAACCTCATGGTTGATGGAGGATTTACTAATGTTAACCATTCCCTTGGAGTTTTTCGATGAAGAGTGGATTTTGCATGTTATTGTTGGCGTCTTAGAGCAGCTTCGGATCTGGCTTTTCTATCAATAAATATGTTGAGTTGACATATCGTGTATTTGATATGATGTCCATTATTTGCATTTTACTTATCTTGTATTTGATATGATGTGCATTATCTGTATTTTACTACCACTGAATATGAATCTTAAGACTCAACTTGTGCTAGCCAAGAGGGGATCCTTATGGTAGCAGAGAAAGATAAGTGACAGTTGATGAGACAAATATGATGGCCTATGGTTTCAAATATAAATTTTCTTGGATCCATTGTTTCTCAGCTTTGCAGCATTTTTTAACCCTCAATATCTATAAACTGAAAACTAAGATTTTTCTGGGGTATGCTTCTCTCTTGATCGTTTGGTCCAATTACCCCCAAATGCACCATTGGATCTAAAGACAACTTTGAGCCCATTTTTTCCAAATTGAAAAGATGGAGAAAATGTATCCTTTCTTTTTCTCCTTTGCTGATTATCCTGAAGAGGATGATAATTAAATTTTAAAAGATTGAATCAATGACGGTTAGTTTTTTTGAGAGAAAAAAAGGTTTTTTTTTTTTAAAAAAATACATTGCAAATGTCGATTGAGATAATTATCAACAAAAATGTCAGTTACAAAATTACATTTGAAATATTAATGTATTATTTACAATAAAAACTTTTAAATTTATAATTGTTTGAATTAATATTTTTAATTAATTTTTTAAAACCTAATTGTTACTGTCCTATTATTCAGAGCCTTGCACCTCTGCTAGCTTCAGATGCCGTCTAAAATGCCCCAGCCTCCATTAAAAACTCTCTTTGCCTCAGAACATTTCTGAATTGCTGCAAGAGCAATAAAATCTTGATAATATATTCTTGAAAGTGAATATTTTAATATCAAGATGCTTTAAAGTGAACTGAACTTGTATTCCAAAAAAAAAAAAGTGAACTAAACTTATCTTAAAGAGAGAAAAATACAACCAAAAAAAAAAAAACTTAAGCTAAGCATTTGGTTCAACAATCAAGGACGTTGTATCTTTTTAACTAATAGATTTTGGGTTTTGAATTTTGGAAATGTAACTATGTTAAACACTTGGTGAGAAAACTTGCTGCCTGAAAGGGTCTTATGCATGCTCGAAATCAAATTAGTTTAGTCTTATTAAATCCCTTCAATTCGAGTCAGGCAGATCTAGAATATCAAGTGCAACTAAAAAAAAAAAATGTTGGATCATTTCTTCTCACAAAATAGTTTCACTTCTTTTTCTTTATCTCTCTAATCCATGAATCCGTAAACATAAAGTCATTGGTTGAAGAAAGTGAAAGTGAAAAATACGATGTTCCCAAACAAGATCATCAAAGTGTGGTTATAAAGTAAATCTCAAAATTGGCCTTTTACCTTGAAAATGAAAACCTTTAGATCTCAAACTGGTCTTTATTTTAAATCACACACAGTGTTCAGATCTCAAATCGGCTTTTAACCTTAAATAAAACATAAGAGGACATAAATACATCTATGATCTTGTTTTTAGGCTTTTAGATCTCAAATTAGCCTTTGACCTTATATTAAATTATAAAACACACACACACACATATGCAAGCAACCCCAGCGCGTGCATCTTGTTTTACTCCTTCATATCATAAATTGGCTTTTGACCTTAAATTAAACAATAAACTTAGAAGGAGCTGTACTATGTTACTAATAAAATTACATAAGTTTAATCAAATACAATCTCATGTGTCATTATTTTTAATGATTTTATTTTTGAAATAGAGTGTCCATTTTCTTTTATTTATTATCTTTTTTCTCTTTATTATCGTTAATGGTAGAATGACTTCATATTTATAATCATCTGATATTGCATATTTTTATTAGATATAGCATAAATGACTTAGTCAGTCATATCCATACAAGAATTTCTCCACACATGTACCTCTGTAATCTTGTTTTAAGCATTTAGATCTCAAGTTGGCCTTTGACCTTAAATTAAACATAGGAGAAATATTCTCATTTGTATTTATTATAAGATATTTTATATATTTTCACGTAAATTAAAAAAATTGGTACTCTCCATTTTTATTTATAGGGTTTATGTATATGTGGGGGGAATTTTTTTATTCTATTTATAAATCATGCCGTTAATTTTTATTACACTTTCCCCCATAACCTCTCCTAATTGTTGGTGAGATAAAATATATTTTTTTACTCTTATTTATATGATAGAGAAATAAGATTTTTTTTTTGTTCTATTTATAAGTCATCTCATTAAATTTTTATCATAAATTTTTTTCATTTGACTTTCATTGAATGTTGAAGTGATAAAATATGCTGTTAAAGCATATATATTTAGTACTCCCTCTAGTTGAAAATATAAATAGTTTTTGAAAAAAAAAATCACACACCAATAAAGTCCTCATTCCTATAAAAATATATATTTATTTTTTCTTTTTATTATAGTCCCAATTACCAATGTACTCTATGATGGGTGAGAGATATATTTATACAAATATATAAATTAATAATTACAAGGGATAAAATGGGAAAAAATTTTAAATGTATTAGATTATTAATATTTTGAACCAAATTAGTTGAGAAAAAATGATTATATTTTGGACCAGAAGGAATAAAGGCAAAGTTAAGAAATTATTAACTTTTTAAATAAAGTTAATAAGTTTTAAAGTTTTTTTTTAATTACGATAAAATATGTTAAAAGTATCTTATAAATAAGATTATGTGAATATTATTAAAATATGTATATTTAATAAAGATAGAGTTAGAAATGTGTTAAATTTTATAGGGTTTAATGAGTTTTTTACATTAAAAAATAAAAAGCCCCTCGAAAGATTGTCCTATACAGTCCTGAGGCATTTTTTTCCTTGCAAAATGATAATGTTTTTTTGGCCAAAAAAGTGATAATAATTTTTTTATATTCAATAAAGACGACAAGAGAGGAGGCTAAGGTGGGGTTAAAGATAACGAGAGAGTGATTTTCAACTTGATGATAATTTAATCACTTGAAAGATAGTACGTCCTTAATTTCATGATTAAGTCTCAAGGAGATCTAGATTTTTACAGAAAAGGTGTTGAATGATATGCCACGTGCATGGCACGCCACTTGCTTTACAATGAGTGGTTAAGTAAGATCCTTCTCTGTGGAGGAATTTCTGGAGTCCACAACCAAAACCACTTCGTTTTGTCCAAAGTCACTTTAAATCTGTCTCTCGTGTGTTTTGCCATTTGCAAAAGCAATCATATTGTATTAATATATCAATATTCATGTAAATAAATAAATAAATAAATAAATATATATATATATATATATATATTCATCTTGTATACATTTTGGAACTTAATTCTTAAAAAAAAAATTCATGCATATTTTCTTAAAGAAAGCAAACAACTTAGTGTGTGTTTGGTTTTCAGTTTAATAAAAATTTATTTGACAAAAGTTAGTTTGGTGAAAGTTAGTTGTTATAACAAAATTTATATTTGGATATAATTTTTTAAAAGTCAGTTTAGCAAATTAAAAATTATTTGGATTAATAAATATTTGTGCTTTTAAAATGTACTTTTGAATATGTAATGACTAAAAAGGACATTAATTTATGATAATTTATAATTTTTATCATACAAATATAATATAGTAAAAATGTTTAAAAAATGTGAAATAAATTTAAAATAACATAAAATTAGAATATTAAATAATAAGAATAAAAAATACAAAATTTAATATTGGAAAAAAATTAACTTGTGATCATATTTACCGTTTTGCCCCCTTATCTGCATAAAAAAAAAGAACTAATGCGTGTCATTTTCTCCTCATTTTCTTCTCCAATTTCTCTAGAACCCATCGACAAAGACAAAGCTTTGATCATCCTCCCACCCTTTGTCAGTTCCTTCTCCCTTCTCCATCATCATAGCATTGCTAGTGAGGGCCTCAACTTTGTCGTGAGCTTGCTGTCGTTACTCTTCTTCTACTTCTTCAATGTTATTTAGCTCAAGCCTTCTACTGTCGTTCTCTCAGCTTTGTCCTGTCTTCCCTGTTTGTTGTGCCGCTACTGTATGGTGAGCTAAGTCGCCGGAGCTACAGGATTTTGCTAGCGAGTCTTTCCCTCCTCTATTCAGTTGCAAGCCTCATCTTCCTCATCCCTGCACCGTGCTTGCTGTAAACCGCCAATGTTGAGGTACAGTTGTGAGTTTATTTTCCTCTATGGCTGTTGAGTTCTAATGTGTCTTCTCCCTTCTTTGTTTGTGTCTTAGTGTGGAATTTCTTCTCTGTCCTATTGTTGCCATTGAGATGAGAAACCATGATTTCTTCTCCTTGAAGAAAAAAGTTTGAGTGTAAGATGTGATATAGTTGAAGTTGCAACTCTTCTCTTGAATTTTTGCTGCTGTCCGTGGTTGTTAAAAAAATGAAAATTAAACTGAAATTTATATAATGAAAGCATAATTATGATAAGTATGGAGCAAAATTTTTGAGCTATTATTTGAGCCAAAGCCAATTGCATGAGAAGAAGGAAAAAACAATGAGGGTATCATGGTCAGTTGTAATATTAGGTATCACTTATTAATGCTCACATGTCCACATTCACGTTTAAAAAGTGAGCTTTTGATTTTTTCAATTTCAAGCCATTTTGAAAATCCTTTTTCAAAGTACATTTCAATTGTAAAAATCATCCCAAACAATATTCCACATCTCAAAAATAAAAAAATACTTTTGGGATGTGAAATATGAAGTTTCCAAATGGTTTAGTTCTTAAACTTTCTTCTCAAAACTTTGTCTTAATTATCCATTTTGTCTTGAACTTTAATTTGAAATAACTTAGTTTTTATAATTTCTTGACTTAGAATAACTTAGTTTTTATAATTTTTTAATATAATTTGATCCCTCTAATTTATTAACTAAATAAACCATAAAAATTGTATTGTATTGATGATTCAAAAAAAATTACTACTTTAGAGACTAAAAATTATGTTATCCCATTTTTTTACAAAAAAGTTAAGGTCATAAAGAAAGAGATAATGAGATTTTTAATTTATCAAAATTAATTTTTATCAATTTGACCCCTAAATTTGCATCAATTATTAATTAAATCTTTATTGTTTAAAGAAAATATAACATTGTTAAAATTTGTTGACACAAATAAAACGGAATGGAAAAATGACAATTACAAATCATTTGAAGAATCATGGCCTTTGTTTGTAATTAAAAAAATAAAAAAATATTAAAACAACCAATCATATGTAACTCATGAATTTAAATAAAGTTAATTATAAATTTCAATAATATTACTTGTGAAT